AACCGTCGACGAAATCTATCGCGGCCCGACGGCAATTACCCGCGCTTTTGTCCGATCTGACGTAGCAGCGGAATCGACTGCTATGGTATCAGGGAGCGGATCTCGCGACGAGTCTACCGAGTTTTCCGAGTCCGAGCACGTAGCCCAGGGCCCTCTCGTGGAATATTAGCTTGGTAGCGGATTCGAGCCCGCATAGGGTCGAGCTTGCGAACGACAGACGTGCATACCGTATTAAGCCCGCGGGGGCTTTGCCCGACTACGTGCACGACGCGTACCGAGCCCACGTAGCTATACAGGGTGTGTATATCGGAGACACTCGAGCGCAATTCTTGCGCGAAGAGAGCGCGACCGCCAGAGTATAACCTCGAAAGAACGGCGATCTGCAGTGCGAAGAGATAGATAGCTCTCGAGCGTTGCTAGAGCTTTAACAGCTCGAATCGTCACATGGAACAATTTTGTACATTAAGTAGTCTTGGAATCATCTATCTGAGAGAAATTTATTAACAAGTAAACTTTTTTCGAGATCATTGGTAATTAAAATTTCTAAGTTATTCAAAGCATAGAAGTCTTATCTTTTTCTTCTTTTTTTTTTTACAGAGTGCGTGATTTTTTTCAATACTGCATGTATGCGCTTCGGTGGCGAACGAAGGTATGTACACGTACGTAAAATTGTCCGCGCGTCTCTCTCGCATATCGGTACGCACTTGGCAAATACTTCGGTATTCATGACGCCTGGTATTCGCCCACGGGATATGTACGTTCGGTCTGCTAGAGAGGTTCAGGCGGGAAATTCTGGACGTTCCCACTCGGGGACGGACCAATTCTTTTTCCGTAATACTATAGCTCGTGCAGTTCCAAATATACAAATCTAAGATTACAGGGAGGGGGGGGGGGGGAATTAATACATTTACAAAATTTCTGTGCGAGGAGAGAGGAAGAGGAATGACATTTTAAACGTCTGCCTTGTTACTTTTCGTATCCCGTGATTGTCTGACGGTTGTGTTTTTTTTTTCCCCCTCTCGCCACGACAATTCGGCTGTGACAATTCCGCGAGAAATATGTAAAGCAAAACGTCGACGATTTGCTCCGCTCTCTTTCCTCGTAGCGTTTCGCGCCTTCGTACTTGTCTGGGGAGAGATACATCCAGAGAGATCTCCCCGGCAGGAGACTTACGTACTTCCACGCTGGATTTACGCGCGATATATTTGTTTTAAAGTCCCGGATTCTACATCCGCCGTTCATCCCTTCGGCTATGACTTCGCCGTTTTCGTCCCGACTCTACCATACTCTGGCTGTTCCTCGTCCTTGTTTCTCATAGATCTGCTGTTCCTCTTTCTCGTCGTCGTGTATTTATGAGGGCGGGATGGCAAAAAGAAGGGAACACACGCGTAGGAGTTATGGCCCGAATAAGTGCTCTCGACCTGAAACAGAGGTTCTCAGAGTGGAAGACGGAAGTAGTATTAGAGTTTTGAAAAATGACGAAAGAAAGTGAAAGAAGAGTAAAATTGGATGGGAAATGAAAAATGTTCCTTGACATTGAAAAGGGGTGATTAGGAATAAGAGTGGCGTATTATGTATCGTTTTAAAGTAATATCCGCTTTTGTTCATTTATTTCAGGAAGATAACAGGGTAGAAAATGTCGTACGATTTTTTTTATAATTTAGGACATCTCGAAATTTTTCGTGTATCCGATACTGTCGAATGTGGTCCCCCCGTTTCAAAGTTGCACGTGGTTTCGAGAACCCCATCCGCCGAATTGATCGCGTGTTTAATCCGACCGGTTAAATGTTCACGTGGTCATGATAGGACTTCGCGATTGCCTTTGATGTCGATCGTCAGAGTACGAAAACCCGCCATTATCGAGATTGTTGGCGAAGCTCGTGCTGCAATGTAGCATAGAGGGGTGGAAAAGGCGCCGCCTAAGGTATGGGCAAGGCTTCGCGACAGTTTCGGCGTTCATTAAGCGCGAAGAGACACCGGCGCGCGCGAGATGAGGGGGCGCCATTGAAAACCGACTTACACGAGCCATGGCTTCGCTATGTCATTATTTCGAGAAACGAGAAACGTTACGAGAGGAAGAGCCGGGAGATTTATTGCGTTTCGCGTTGCAAGCTCCGCGAAGAATGTATACGGCCGTGGAAAGCAGCTGGCGTCTCGCGCTCGTGCGAGCAAACGGAGTAATATCGACAGTTGAATGGTTGCGAGCGGAAACGCCCCTGCGTGTCGGAAACGCGTTTTTGGAGGTGTTCGAAGCGGGAGATCCGGCAATGAATTCTGGAATTCGGCAAAACGCGAAGTAACTTGTGCGGTAAAAAAAATTCTAGCCTTACAATCTATATTTACTTCGACTAATTAACGAGATACTTAAATACAAGTGAAATTGCAAATGTCGATTGCGCTGATAAAATTCGTGCGAGGCGATAGAAAAAAATACACCATGACTATTTGTCGGAGAATAAAGAAACCTGTTTAGGGAGGATGCGATAATTCTGAAATATTTTCAAAAATTATACCACTTTCTTGTATAATCACGGTCGAAGACATGCGCCTCGAGGAATACCTTTCTTACTACAAAGTGAAGTCGCGAAGAGAAGAAAAATTAAGTAGAAGCGACGTTGCTGGCCGTATTGTCGGCATTGGCCAATTACCTTCCTTTCCCGCTGCGCTCTTTCCTTATCACTCGAATTTTCTGTCTAACCGTAGATATAGATGGGAATGGAGGAGATATACGGGGGGGGAGGGGGAGGGGGAGAGCGGAGGGGAGAGGAAGGCAGAGGAGGTCGCCAAGGGACAGGGAAATGGATGAGGAATAAAGTTCGCTCGCTTCGCCTCTCGTTTACTTGCCAGTACTTATTCGCTTTGCCCGTCGAGCGTCGTCTCCTCATTCAGCCAAAGTCTAATTAAAGTGCAGCTGCAAGTTAAATTAAAACACGATAATGTTGCCGTGAGAGAGGAAGAGAGAGAGAGAGAGAGAGGGGAGACGAGGGGATTTACCTGCTGTCGCATACCCTTTCCTTCTCTTCTTTCTCCGGTGACCGAACTTAAGCAGTTGCGTTCCAATCGTCCCGCACCATTTACGAGCTTCTCGAAGGAGTTTGGCCGTCGAGTTGTTAAACACTCGACTTTCGGGCGTACCGCTTCGCACGTGCGTCCTTGTGTTTTTCTCGTGTAAATAAAGTTACGGCTTCGGAAGAAACTAATTGCGCAATATTCATGAATGTTATAGCAGACGTCTTTCAAATGAGAAAAAAAGTTCAATCTAAGAAGCGTTCGACATTCGAGAAGATAATTCATAAATTTTTATCTCAATGTTTATTGCAGATTCACCGCTATTAATTATAAATTAATTCTTTTAATTTCTACTGCAATCTCCAGTGGAATATTTCTAATAATAGCACGATGACGTTAATGATCTTTAATAATGATAATATTATTCAGTCAAGAGACGA